AATTGTTTAAATGACTTTGTGTATGAAACTTCACTAAGACCGCCAAAGTTAGAACAGCACAGACCTCATCCATCTTATTTTATGAGTTTTGATGAAATGAGCTGCAATGCAATAGCAGCCTTGCATCATATCTGTACTTTGGCAGTTCTTTATGCTGCCCCTGAACCCATATTTTACTTTAAAATATTTTTCTTTTCATATACTGTATGTATAAATTGCTGAATCATTACCTAAACAAATCAACCTGTTGTATTTCCTAGTTGTCTTCAAGCCTGAATACATCACCATATCACAATAAAATGTGACTCCCACTGAATTGGAGCTGCTTTTGGATCTTTGCAATGGCTAAAAAGAGAAACACTTAAATTGTTTCAAATTATTTTGTTTCAGGAATGTAGAAGCAATTTGTCAGGTGGTAGAAGTCCAAAGATGGACTAGTGAATGTGACTACATCTATCATTCTTAGGATGACCATAGCCACCATCATTAACTATCAACCTCAGGAGTTGCCTAAAATTAACAGCCCCATGCAACTGCCATCATTAAGCTAGAACAAAAACCAAATGTCATTATGATCTGATATTTGTTTGTTTATTTGTTTTAGTCTAAGAGACCTTATTAGGTATAAAGAGCGTGTGGTACCATTTCCAAATCTTACAGTATTGATCTGTAATTTGTGTTTAGTCTGTCCCTCCCTGGGCCTTCACTGGCTCTTTCTTCACCAGGGTCTGTTGCACTGCTGTGTCCTTGTGAGCGGCGGGCATGTAGCAGAGGCATGTGGAGCAGGCAGCAGGAAAGCGAGCCTTCCTGTCTCCCCAGACTGAACAGTGAATGAGGATAAGTGAGGAGCACCAGTCAATGAATCAAGCAGCAGGAAGGGAGCAGCCAGGGGGGGAGTGTGACGTCCCCACGGGAGAGGCCTCGCATTAGGAACTTCCTCGTCTGTGTGTTTCTGGCACAGGTTAAATGGATCGCTCCCATTAGCGAACTGAGAGGACAGCTCCATTATATGAAGGAGACTGTAACTTTGAATGTCACGGTGCAACAACCCCAGAGTACGCCTCGTCTCTCAGGGAAGCAGGGTGACAATAACCATCCATGATAATCATTCCCTGTCAGGCTTTAAGAAACCTGAAATTATGACGTACAACCTGCCGTGCGCCTCAGACTTCATTACAGCGCTGTCACTTTGAGTCACCTGTGATGGCATGGTGCTCCGCAGCCGGCTGCAGCGTTGTGGCTGCCAAACAGCAGACCAACTCTCCTCCTACATTAGTGGCATGTTTACAGGATGTGTGCCCCCCTGCAGATAATGTGGTGGA